TGTGTGTGTGTGTTAAGGAGATGCTGCTAGCCCCTTAAACAACCTTATGCTAAACTATACAGTGATTTGGCTGTGTAACAATTGAGTGTCGACTTAGCTGAGGATAGAAAATTAATTGTCCCACTGGTCCCCTCCCCGCACTTTTTGTTGTTGTTATGAACCAGATTCAAACTCCTATGTTTATGCATCTCACTAGAATGTCAGTGCATCATCTAACTGTAGAAGGAAAGAAAACTGTAAGTGGTGAATGATTTGAAATGGAAACAGCATGATGCATACTTAGAAGCCCAATCTGCAAATTAAAAGAGGGAAAAAATAGTGTAGAGCAGCCAGCAGGGCATTTTGTCCCAATTCCCAGTGCATCCTTTGGTGTGGTGCTTTGGGTTTCAACACATAGGAGGCTGATGTAACTCTTGCTGCATTGAAGGTGTGTGTAGGCCAAAATGAATGGGTGCGCTATTGTGAACTCCATTCACACAGGATATGAATGTTGATGAAGTGATTGTGACTGAGTCAGAAGGGGTGGCTGAGGATTTAAAAAGAAGCAAAGTTTAACTGTCTGAAGTTGACAAGTCATGATTAGTAGAGGTTTTAATGCATCTCCTAATCTCATTCAGTTAGCTCATATGAAAAATTAATAGGGATGGTGAGTCTGCAAAGCATTTGAGAGAGTTTAGTCTTCGACGCTTGGATGGTTTCACAAAAGGTGTGGCAAAAATCTAGCTGTCTAGAATTAGATAGCCACAACTATGGAGTATTTTTTAATGTTGTTTCTTGTAATAGCCAGTTCTTTGCAGTACATTTTTCGATGTGTGTTTTTGCATATTTTTTTCCCATAGTCAACTTTATTACATTCTTTGAAGTGCCTTTTTCTTTAACCCCACTAAATTATGTTCTTCACAAATGTACTGTAATGTATCCTTTTTTCTGCTCTTGATATTTCTATGTTGACTTTGTTTTATTACACACCATACCAGTGTCTTCAATGTTTTACCTTCAAAGTATGCATTCTGGCTCTGATTCAGGAAGGCACTTACGCACTTGCTTAACTTGAACCACACATTTAAATCCCTTTGACTTTAGCATCCCTATTCAGGAAAGCACATATGCATTTGGCAAACTTCTTTCCCCAACAAGGGTGCTTTTCTGAATCAGGGTCTCTATGCCTTATTCAATTCAGAGGTTAATATGTCACTGGCTATGATACAGAACCCTTAGTGCTGAGCAAACCTTACAGAGCTTGCTTCTCAGATGTTTGGGTGCTTATGAATGAAGTGTGGCTTTTGAATTAGTCAGTAGGGAACCAGTTGTCATAACTAGTTCTCTGAAGTTGTTTCCCACATAGCCTGGAGAAAATTCATCCACTTGAATGGAATATTTGTTTGTATTGCATAGGAATAGATTGCTCATTTTCAGCTTCTCTCTTAAAAGAAAGTCCTATTTTATTTTTTTATTTGACATTTAGATTGCTTTAGAACCTAAGGGCAGGTTGGACCCCATTGTGCTAGGTGCTGTGCAAACATATAGTAAATTCTAGTCCTTACTGCAAAGAGCTTAAAGGTTTTACTTTTTATTTTTTCCCTCTCCACAGAAGGACATGTCCTTAAAGCCTCAGGAGCGAAAGGAAAAATGGGAGAGGCATCCAGGAAAGAAACCACGAGAATCCGAAAACTACGTGTCCGCTGAGCCCAGTGAAAATGGCCATAATAATGATGCCGGGAGCTCTGAGAGAGAGACTGAACGAGGCAAAGAGAGGGTGAAGAAGAAACACCCCTTGAAGATATCCAAGCAGGTAGGGGAATTCTTTTGCCTCTGAAGTGACTGTGTCCTAGTATAGGCTGTTGTCTTCTTTCTCCTGGGTGGAAGCTGTTAATGCGTCTGTTTAAAAATCTCCTGGCTAATTGTACTAGGCGCTGTAATGTCTCCTGCATGGATTCTAGTCAAGTGAGTAGACACGAGTGGTAGGAAATTCCATTGGTTAAAATGAAAAACCAAGTGCACCGTGAGAGAGGCAAACTACCCTGTAGTTCTGCATCTCCAGCAAAGTGTGGTAACTCGCACAGTAAGTGACACAAACGCAGTGTGCATGTTAGACTGTGATCCAGTCATCTCCATTGGTGTGATCCAACTGTCCTCTCCACTGGTGCCTAGGATTGGGGAATGCAGGGTTGTTAATGGATATCTGGGGCTTGGCAAACGTGACACCAACGTGCACATCATGAATCAAGTTCCTCTGCATCCTGCCAAACAGTGAATTAAGACTGATGGGAGCATTATAGGAGTTAAGAAATGAAAATAGAGACAGAAGAAAGGGTTTGTCCCTTCCTTCCCATGCCGCATACACCTTCCTTGTGCATTGGAAACTAGGCGATGCATTAATACGGTCTAGTAGTGGTGGTCTAGCTGTCATAGTCACCTTGAATGCCACAAGCATGAGGAACATGGCCTCAAAAGCTCTTGTCTGAACCAGTGTGTGTGTTTTTATAGCCAGGGAGGTGAAGAAGGAAAGGCACAAGGGGTTGGCAGGCCGTTTATCACTTACTGCAGCTCAACTGAGAGATTTGTTAGGGGCTTGAAATCCACATAGCACAGCAGAGTATATCTAAGAGCAAGCACTTGCTAAGTACCTGTTACCTAGCGCCAAATGGAAATTAGCAGGGTGACCAACATATTTGTCCTTACCAAGCTAAGAAGTATATGTGCAATTAAAAAGTATTTGCAACTGTACTGTAGTAGATAATGTTTTCACCTGTCAGCTCATAGAGAGAAAGGAGCTTATTCAAATAAGCAGGACAAGCCTTCCCTTCTATGGGTGGGGATTTTGCATGTGTCTCAGATGACAACAAAAGTTTAGATTCTGTGGTCATTGTAAGTATTTTTAATTGAATTCTAGATTTTTAAGGATCATTATGGTCATGGAATCTGATCTCCCACATTACGCACGCCACAGAACTTTATCCAGTGGTTTCTGCGTTGAGCCCAGTAACTTGTGGTTGAACTTAAGCATATCTTTTAGAAAGACATTGCACCGAATCTTGAGTTAGGCTAGGTCTACACTGTGTGTGTGTGTGGCGGGAGGGGAATCGATTTAAGATACGCAAATTCAGCTACGCTAGCTGAATTCGACGTGTCCGAGCCGACTTACCCCGCTGTGAGTATGGCGGCAAATCGACCGCCGCGGCTCCCCCATCGACGGCGCTTACTCCTACCTGGGCTGGTGGAGCACGCGCGTCGATTCGGGGATCGATTATCACATCCCAACGAGACGCGATAATTCGATCCCCAAGAGATCGATTTCTACCCGCCGATCCAGGCGGGTAGTGAAGACAAGCCCTTAGACTCTAAGGTCATGTCTACACTTACAAGCTTACAGCGGCACAGTCGTATTGATACAGCTCATGTAGCTGCGTTGTGCTGACAGGACAGAGCTCTCCTGTTAACATACTAAAACCAGCTTAATGAGCGGTGGTAGCTATATCGGCAAGATACACTAGCACTTAGTTCCTCGGGGTGTGTGTGTGTGTGTTTTCACACCCCTGAGTGACAAGAGTTTTGCCGACATAAGTGCTAGTGTGGACATGGCCTTAGTGACAGAGAGTCAGGGCTGCTCGGGGGGGGGACGGGGGAGGGGAGGGGAAAGTGGGGCAATTTGACCCGGGCCCCACAGGGGCCCCCACGAGAATATAGTATTGCAACTTTTTTCTATGGAAGAGGCCCCCGAAATTGCTTTGCCCCAGACCCCATGAATCCTCTGGGCGGCCCTGCAGAGAGTTTACCTTGCAATCTGCTCTGATGGTTAATTACTCTGGCGTCTTTTCTGTTTGTGTTTTGATTTTGAAAATGGATTGCTATTAGGGATGAGGAAAATATTCACAATAAATGACTTATCTGACAAATCTAGCTTCATTTTTCTGCTTGTGGACATTTTGGTTGCAAATCAATTTCCTCCAGTCAGATTGGCAATGGTTTTGGGTTTTTTGGAGATTTTGAAAACTCTCCGAAGCTATCACAAACGCTTTGTTTCTAGGATTCATTCATATATAAAATTTGAGCTGAGTGACTTATTTATGATTGCTCAGATTAGTCACATAATATTGTTTTGATTCCCCAGTTGGGGGTGTGCAGTCGTGCAGTCGTGTCCAATGCAAATGCTTAACGTGTGAATTTAAACTTCATTTTCCATAGATACGTGCATTTTACATTTGAAATCTGCTTTCTGTGAATATTTGTGTCATTAAAACACTTTGTTCAGATGTTTGTAGAAAAGGAGTGCAAAAACTGTGATATTATGGCCAAAGCTAGCTCTCTTTTACTGGTCTCTTCAGTCTAACCATATTAATGCTGCAGAGATGTTTCTGCTAAACATTCATTTGGGTGGCAGCTTAGAAAATATTCACTCGCGGGTTAAAACTGCATAAACCAGACTGTTCTTTGAGACCTAATCTAAAATTCTATCAGTTCATTGTTGTTTAGGTAAATTCACTCATACCTGAAATCCACTAGGCATTTATCCAAAATGCTGCAGGGAATGAGGCAGTGATTCAGTAGGTATCACTCATCCCTCTGAGTCAGTAATGAACCAATGTCCCTGCACGATGTACTGGAGAATGTACTGTTGGAGTTGCCATCTTTTAGATGAAATGTAAAACCAAAGTTTCCAACACTTGTGGCCCCTAAGGATCTCATGACACTTTCCTAGCAACCACAAGGGTAAAAGACCTTGGTGTCCTGGCCAAATTCCAGTTTGAGTAATTACATTCTGCTGCCTGAATTTGCCTAATACTTAATTTCCCTCAGTACATCATGAATAATGAAGACATATCAAAAGTTACCTGTATTTTCTTCTGGCTACAGTAGCATTTCTCATATTCCAAACCCTCCCTCCCCCATTATTTCTACATCTTTTCTTAGTTCATTATCTGCATAATGACAGGTTTCAGAGTAGCAGCCGTATTAGTCTGTATCCGCAAAAAGAACAGGAGTACTTGTGGCACCTTAGAGACTAACAAATTTATTCAATCAAACTAGATACAATCGATTTAGGATTGAATAAGGCCTGGGAATGGCTGAGCCATTACAAACATTGAATCTATCTCCCCTTGTAAGTATTCTCACACTTCTTATCAAACTGTCTGTACAGGGCTATCTTGATTATCAC